TTCGGAAACTCCGCTGTCGTATTTCAATCTTGCAACATCGCCGCTCGTAAACCTTTACCGGGTCAGAGAAACTTCGTGACGGCGCAAGGACGGAGCAATCCGGGTCAAAACACCGGAATCTCGATTCAAAACTGTAGAATCACGGCGGAATCGATGACTTATCTTGGTCGGCCGTGGAAGGAGTATTCGAGGACGGTGGTGATGCAATCGTTTCTTGGTGGGTCTATTCATCCGTCGGGTTGGTCTCCTTGGTCGGGTGGTTTCGGTCTCAAATCTCTGTTTTACGGAGAATTTGAGAATTCGGGTCCTGGATCATCGGTTTCGGGTCGGGTTAAATGGAGTGGGTATCATCCGTCCTTGACGGTGACGGAAGCGGAAAAATTCACTGTGGCGGTTTTTATTGACGGGAATATGTGGTTGCCGTCAACGGGCGTTAGTTTTGACTCTGGACTTGTGAAATGAGCTTTGTAATTAAGCTCGTTTGATAAATAAGTTCTTATATAGTCATTTATGTTGTGATTAAAGTAAGTAATGGTGTGAAATAATCTCTTTTCTTATTTTATTATTTGTATATTTGGGTGTAACCAAGGGAAAAAAAACAGAAGTCCTCGAATAAAATCTGAATTTATTATAAGATTAATGTTTGTATAAATGTGTTCTGTTTCACCATTTCTCTAGATGCTTAAAATTATTAATATTCTTATCAAATGCAACCAAACTACATGTGAACGATTGAATTCGAATTATGTGTATGTGGATAAGGGCTCAGCCCATCCATTCAGTGGTTTTGAACTCTGCAAATAAGTTAGGACAAAAAGTTTTTGAAGCCCATATTAAAACCTATAACATACTAATGTTGGATTATGTTCGTTTTTGTGAAAAAAAGAAGAAGAAGAAGGATGCTAAATTGGTCAACTTCTTTTTCGTTCTTTTCTGTTAGTGAAATGACGATATCTTGTGCGTGTATTTATTTGGTGGAACAAACGAATTAATTGTGATATTTTATTGGTTAAGTAGTTTTTTTATTGAATATTGTTGGTCAAATCGTTGGTCTATGATTAAATATTGGGTGGAACAAACGAATTAATATCTATATGAGTCCAAATTCGACACTGTGCCAATCTGCTACATGCATGCATGTCTTTTGAGTTTTCCGGAAATATCTCATGTATGCACCTAGAAAATTATCAAAATTATGTATGACGCGGATTAGTTTGTATATCATTTTTTATAACCACAATTTCCAAAGAAAACAAAGTAACACTACTTAAGATTCCAAACTAATTCTTGAGATTTGTTACTTAAGACGTTTACAGTAGCCAACTATATTATGAATTCAGAGTGAAAAGATTTAGATTCTAATGTTTTATACATAACAAATTTTTCAACCACTAGACCACCATAAAGTGGTTTGATTTACATACTATAGTGTGTGCACATGTTTGAAAAAATATTTGTTTTTTCTTTTTCTTTTTATTCACAGTTTCATATTAGTGAATTTTTTGTTCAAGTCTTCTAGCTAGTCTGATCAGTTTGATACTAGTAATCTACGTTTTTAACATATTATTGCATGCATTTGCGGATGTAGAAATCTTTCTATACGCACTTATTCGTTGAAACTTATAAGGTTGGTTTATATGTAAGCAATAGAAAGATTTAATATTTTGTGAGAGTCTTGCCAACTGACTATAATCGAAGAATAGTGATAGAGAATAATTGAACGCTTAACATATGAAAATAAAAGAGTATTAATTAGGAAGTGGTCTTCGTTTTGAGTATTAAAATCTTGCCTCTCTAACAATAGGCAAGATTGGCCCACTTTTTCTTTTTCCACGGTTCTTTAACTCAATTCATATTTTGCATGTACGTGTGTATACGTATGTGCAGTGTACATTAAATTTATCCCACGTGCAAACGTTTTGTCTCTGTCCGCTTATTTTATTCCTTAAGTTTTATGAATCAACAAAATCGTTTGTGTAACTTACGGTCTATAATTATTTTGGACCGAAAGTCTGAATATGTTTAACTAATTAGATCTTTCCCAATGTCGATTTTCGAACTCATATGACATGATCTTTCTCTTTTATATGGACTTCTCTATGTTGATTTTTGAACAATATGTTTGAACTACAACAAACATATTTAAAGATATTTGCAACATCTATTTAGGCTATCGTAAATGGTTTTATATAAGACAGAAGATCAGTTACAAAATATATAGTCGTATATTTACAACGAGTTTATAGAAAGATCTTATCAAAGAACTTACATTTTCCAAATAGTACGTAATATATTAATAATTCAAGCATAATTAATAACATCTATATATATATGCATAAAGTTACAAACAGTATGCTTGAGTCATGGTTTGCTTCGTGACTCGTCGTTGTCGATCGCATAATTTATCTTTGAGGTTAAAATAAAAAAAAATGAAAGAAAATGAGCGCCGTCATGTTATCCACCGGAGAAAGTAAAACGGAGCCACGTCAACAGTTACGGAGCAAAGTCGCCGACAGTTGTATCGTCAAGCTTAATCAGCCGTCTTCATTTTAACCTAACGTAATAAAGAAAAAAAGAGAGGCGTCAGTGCTGACGTGGCTTTTTCACACGTTTCCGATTTTCAACGTCAGGAGGACGATTTAGAACTCCTTTCTTCAGTTTAACATTCGTCACTATTACTAAGTGACCAATAGCATTTGTTCTTTTATATTTGTTTTACTTTTTTAGTTGGGGATATTTTTAATCAACCCAACGACTAATTATTAGTTTTTTAAAAAAATTAAGAAGAGAATCAAAGAAAACGAATGGTTTAGTTAATATTAATTAAATAATTAGAACGAAAAAAATTAAAGATAAAGATAAGAGGGAAAGGAAAGTGGGGGTTGTTAAAGGCCATAGCCATGTGCCTTCATGTGGTGGTTGGCCCATTAGTGGACCTACTCTACCTCTTCTTCAACTCTTTTTTAGTTCTTTTATTATATGATTAACACCTTCTTATTCATTTGGTTTCACTCCTAATATCAACAATTTTGTAATTTGTTATTCCCCCAAATTGTTCAACGTTTAGATCCATATTTTTATGATATATGTAAAATTGAAACCTTTTATAGGGTAACAAAACAGTTAGATTTAAGGGATTTTGGAGCTGAATCTTGAAAAGAGAAATATGATAATGATGATGATATACAAAAGAATTTAATGGCGTAAAAAATACGTCCGGCGGCAAAGCGGTAGGGGAGAGAGTGATTAACACAAAAGAGATGGGACTAATGCTAAATTATAGCCTTAACCAAACACAAATCTTATTCCTCAAGTCTCTCTTCTCATCTTTTTTCTTTTCTTCTTCTGTTGGCTTTTAATATTTTCATGATGTGTTGTCTTTTCTAAATTGGTTAGTAAAATTTAGTGTGTAAAAAATCATGGTGTCATCTATTGGTCAAGCCAATTGAATAATCTCATATCCTACGAAAAATATACATATTTTTATAATATATGATTATATGTTGCTCTCTTGCATAGTTGCATGGTGAATATTTTGTTATATTCTTTGATCACTTGTTAACACGTTTTATCTTGATGATGCGAGTGGCTAATTGATTTATTAACACTTTATCGTCCAGAATAATCATAGTTATTCTTTCAATGGTGTTACTTTTCGAACTAACGTATAGTTCAAACTCAGTATCGAATAATATCCTCAATCAGTCGTTTTACGAGAGTTGGATTTTGGCTGAATCTTGTTTCTATAAGTAAATATCCAGCAAGCTGTAAGTAATCAATTAAATTAATATTTCGGGTTTTTGTTATTTAATTTCTTTTGCATTGAAAATGAGCTTAGATGTTTTCCACAATCGATCATTCCATCTTAATCGTCATTAGTTGTCAACTAATGTTAACATAAATACATACATATATGTATATAGCTTACCTAATTTTATCATAATAGTCTCTATTAGCTGTTCACGTTAATGAATTCATACGCATTCGTCACTAAATTAACCTTTTTATAAAAACAAACAAATAAACATAATATTGTGGTTGGAATCTAATTCCATAATCTGATGTCTGCTCTTAATTGCTCTTTTTTCCGTTAATACCAAAGCTATGAACCAAAAGAGCTTGATTAATTTGCGTCTAAGAATTAAACATCATCCGAATTAATATTTTGTTTTAGTTAAGATGTATACTAACACTAATGCTATATATTGTAGTTTGGGTGTAGTAGTATATATGTATATATAAACATATTTCAAATTTCAAAATAGTCAAATATATATATCCAAAATAGCCAAGTTCTGTTAATCTATTGGCATCAACTTTTTCCTTAAGCTCCAAAACATCGTTTTCCACTAATTGCCCATTTATTTATTCAAGACTTTATAACACTAGGTGTATATTATACTTATCCGAAATACATGGGTTTTGCAAAATACAATTAACATTTCATTTTGAAATTCTAACACATATAATGATATATTTACACATCTAATTATCCACCAGTAAACAATCTAACAGTCAACCCACTAAACCACAACAGACGAATCTCCAAAAATTTGAACTAATATTATTAAACCCCCAAAGTTAAACATAGAACTGTATGTATCTTTTGTCACCGTTGAAGAAAACTACCACTTACAACTTCATATTCTCATATTGACGGACCAACTAAGCTCCAAAATTCAATATTTCAAAGCTATTAGCACATCTAATTTTCTTCCTTTTTATGTTTATTTGTTTTCAATTCTACCCATAATTAGAACATGAGTATATATATTCGAACCTACAGTTTTAAACTTTATAGAGAACATTTGAATAGTTGTATGTCTTGTGACATAAAAAACATATTTGTAATGTAAAAGAAATACAAGGAAAAATAAACATTATTTATTCCTCTCTCTTTCTCTCTCTCCACCTCTCCGTTTATATTAACCCTAATACTATGTCATTCTAAAAAAAAAAAAGTTTATAAAGGTTCTCAACTCAAGTTCTCTTCTCTAAACAACCCAAACCATGGCCTCTGCAGACAAACTCATAAACACAGATGTCCCTGAAAAGGACGTTTTTGCCCTCCACTTTCTCCAATCCCTCTCAAATCTCAGAACACAAAACCCTTTATTAAATTCTCCGGACAAATCAATAGATCGTGTGAAAAAGATCAAGAATGCTGCGTACGTTTCCATGGCCAGAGCAGCCGGAGGGACTAGCCGGCTATGGAGCAGAGCCCTCTTGCGCCGAGCAGCCAAAGATGACAACAAGAGCGTAAGATTTTCAAGGAGGAAGAGGAAGGTGACATGGAAGATATCATCAAAACGGAGGAGGAGTAACCAGAGAGCTCCGGTGGTGGAGGAGGCGGCGGAGAGGCTGAGGAATCTTGTTCCGGGAGGCGGAGGAATGGAGACGTCAAAGCTGATGGAAGAGACGGCTCATTACATCAAGTGCCTTAGTATGCAGGTCAAGGTCATGCAGTGCCTCGTTGATGGTTTATCTCCTAATTAAATGATTCATCAATTAATCATCATCATCATCAGTGATTGATGTATATAGAGATACAACACATACATAGTATTGGATATTGGGGTAATCATAACACATATATACGTGTATATATATATATATATTCTTATATATATACATACGTGTAAGATAGGATACATATATGAAATGTGTGGATATGTATTAGTCTCGAAGTAACGAAAGATTTTTTTTCTTTTTCTTTTCTTGAATTTTGATAAATGGGGATTTATTATTTATCATATGCTATGGCCGGTTTAAACATTAGGGCTTGGGAACTTGCCGTTGGAGCTATGCACTGGAGCTACTTCTGTCCTTTTTCTTTTCTTTTAAGCTATGCTTTTGGTTCCTCTTGATTGTATATTCATGAATGATGTTTCTATGGATGGATTATAAATTTAGTTATAATTTAAGATAAAGTATAGTGAAATTAGAACTATCATAACATATACCTTTTTGTATTTATATATAGCTTATACATACATATATGGTTGTTGATGTTTTTGAGAAAATATATGATGTAGCTAGTAAATTTTTAAATATATTTATAGAATTATGAATCTTTTAATGAAATGATTTTGTTTTTAAACACGAGTTACTTGAATAAGTCGGAATAAGTCTGAAAAAGACTTGACATAATATAAGGTAGGTTAAAGGCTTTTGTAGGAAAAATATGTAACTTCTTTTTTTTTTTTTTTTTTTTTGTAACTCAAACACTTCATGATCTATATCGGATTGAATTCAAATGGTAGCTCACAACAATATTATTAACAAAAATTACAAAACTCTGATTACTTGTTTTCTTGCTAATCACAATTTCCGTTGGAAGGATTATCTACACGTCTTTATTTATGTAGTTGGTCATACTTATATTTCATACGATTGTCCTCCTTTGTCAATTATTATACACGTGTACGTAAATAGACAGATTGGTCAATTCCACCACATAATTCACATCAAATATTGATTCGTGCATTCGTTTTCGTCAGAACTTCATTCCATCAGTGGAATAATATGGGACAAACTTTAAAGTTTTATGGAATTTTCAGAGACTTATCTTTATCCAGAAAAAGGGCAAAGAATTAATAAAAGGGAATTTGCATCATAATACTTGAAATACTACAAAGTGATGGTTACTGTGAGTCAATTCAAGAGAAGGTTATTATAGACTCTGTACAAACATGTCATGAGTCTTACTACAAAACCTTTCTTTCTTCTCCCCCAAAACAAGAAAAAAATACGATATATTACACTTTTCGATGTGTCTTAGGCATCTGATTAACTTTGGCTTTGCAGAGAACTTACATCAGCTTTTGTGCATCTTTCACATATGAAATCTGCTTAAGCTATGCTCGCTGTTTTGGGGAAAAGCTATGTTTGATTGATAACACATCATTAGATTGTTGAATCATGTTATTATGCCACAGGCATTGGATCCTCCGTTGTGTGAGACTCTGATTCTTCACAACCGTAATTCCATAGTTCTTTAAGCTCTCCTCTTACCAACCCCAGTATGACGGCCAAACCTGAGAGAAAACACATTAGGTTTTGTTTGAGAACGATGGAGAGGAGTGTTCGAAAACAGATGGAGGAAAGGAAACTCAAGCTTCTGGTTTTACCGAGTGTGCAGGGTACGATGTATAATAGCGCAGGCTGGCCATGTCCGTCCATAAGATACAGACCTAGATATGTCAGTAACAGACCTACAAAACAGAACAGGAAGAAACAATGTTTCTGTTAAGTTTCAAGACTGTGAATATGAGAAGCCATCTCGATTAGCAAGTCAAGTTATGTTACTTTCTAGTTGGAAAAAATAACAGAATTGAGATCATTCACTCTGTTGTATAAGCTATGAAACGCCATTTATGTTCACAGAGTTAGTAATGCTTGGACACTTACCTATTCCATAGCCGATAGTCAACCAAAGGAAGTACCCATTTGATATTACCCTCTTTTTTATCTTGTCATATCTGAGATCAAAGAGCAAGTATTAATCGTAAGAGAGGATTGGATGAGAGAATTATGATGTATGGGTTGAGAGATTTAAGACACTCAGGAGAAAGTATGGCAAAGATGGAATTCCAAGTTTGTTCTTTGAAGAACTAAGAATGTCACTAACTAAAAGTACCTGGAAGCAAAGGAAATGAGCAAACCGGGGAAGAGGATGTCCCCAAAACCAATCATGTCATAACCACCCCAAGGATCAAAGAACCGAGGAATCCTTAGTAGCATCGGAATGGACTCTCCGCTGCTGCTGTCTCCTTGGGCAACCTACAAAGAAGGGATCTCAAATAAGAATATACTAGCTGAGCTTGTCTGGGCTCTTGAATTACTCAATTATCAGAATCAGCTACTATTGATAGGTTATTGAGTTATAAAGTTACTTGTGTAAGCAGTTGACAAAACCACAGAGATACTACAGCCCTACAACTATGTAATGATGTAATGTGATGGACCATAAGAAATTTATGTGCCACAAAACAAACTTCAATGAATACAATGATACCTTCCAATCCCTAATATATCAGATATATGAAGCACATTTTTTTGTCAGAATTGCAGAAACGAAACTGAAATCACATAACTAGCCCAATTCTAAGCTTAACCTGGATAAATAGAGTGTAGCAATAGAAATGATAAATAATGGACATTGTAAGAGACTCACCACAATCATAACACTCTCGTGAAATATCAATGGTGATATGAAGACCCAGAAAATGTCATACACAAACGCGCAGCAAAGAAGTACAGTAGCAACCTGGAGTACAGACCACTATCAGCATATAACAGAAAACAATCATAATCCACTACATAACAAAATATATAAACTACCTTGATGTTAGGTAATCGAACCACTTGCAAGGCAGTGATCATCAAACATATGCCCTGTCAACAAGATGACAGTAAATATTTCACTAAGTGAAGCCAAGGAACCAAAACTTCTCAACATGGCCTCTTCCTTTATGGAATGAGGGGAATATGAATATGTTAACAAAAATAGCAGAAGCGGTGATAAGAGAAATAATGAGAGGAAATGACTTCTAGTTCTAGATGCATTGAGTGACGAAGAAAAAGAGAGCTATGGGAGTTACCAAAATGTCTTGGCCAACCCAAGAATACGATGTGTGCCGTTTTATAAACCAGAAAACAGCAAACGCCAAGCAAACAATATTCACCAAAAGTGACAACACTGACATTGTTCCAAGCAAAGGGAGCTTCACAGATTTCCGACCAAGATGTCTGCATTTTCTGCAGGCGGATCAAACATATATCCATTAAGAGATGTTGACCAGAAAAAGAGAGAAGTTAAATAATCAGGAATATTTCAGAATACCTCAATATAACTGCCATAATGATGTTATGCATACCCTGAAAGCAACAGCCACTGCGTTAAATTGACGGAAAAAGTACATGTATATTTAATCTAGATTCTACACAGGTTCAAAATCGCCGGATGTTAATGAAATTACCTGCATGCCGCCAATGCAGAAAAATATGGTGAGCACCCATACAAACCATGATGACATGAAGTAGAAAAGGAGCAGCAGAAAAATGGAGGCTGTTACAATAAAAAATACAGCACCAGTGACACTTATATCAAGGATTTCCTTCTCTGGGTCATCTTTTCTGGTCCCAGCACTAGAAATTTCCTGAAAAAAATTAAGTAATTTAATCTTCTTTCTTTGAAAAGACAAATCGCCATATCGGTAATTCAGCATCATAACAGATACATTAACTGAAGTTTTGATCACGAAGTCCACAGAATAACAAAGAGGCTGCTACGCTAAGTATCTGGGAAATGTACACTAAGTGTATAGGATATTAAAGGCAGTTAGTTGTAGAAACCATAGCATGCAAAAGTGCTTGACCACAATTCTCTGGTATAGCTACCGATGGAGTACACCAAACAAGGACTTGAAAGATGTTAACCTTTGCTAATATGCTGTAAGATTCATTAGCTTGGTCAGGATCTGTAAGCTCTGACCACAGTGATGCAACGACAACAGTTCCAACAGCCATGAGCAATAACAATCCAGCTGTGAGGTCCACGACAGGACGCTTTGGAGCATACAACAAAAGCTCAACTGCATCATAAAGAAACTGGACTTAGCCTAGAAGAGATTTCTACGAACACCAGATGGTTCATATTGTTAGTGGTAGAGGACCAACAAGAGAAAAACTGAAGTGCAAAATTACAACGGCTCACCACTCTTATTGTCTACCATAGACTTGTTGAGAGCATCCCCGCTTGACTTGGAGATCATTAAGACAGGTATGCTCACATTTAGAGACGTGTCCTTTTCCATACATCCCATCTCATCAAGATCTGATAACAGATCATCACTAAATCATATGATCCAAAGCTAAGAAACACGAAAAATATCAATCCAAAAACGTATTGAAAAAAACAAACCTTCTTTGTCATTAATGACCAAGAGAGCAGAAGCACCAGCTGCCTCAGCATGTTTTGCCTTCTCAGTGAAAGCACAATTTCCACGGATCGACAAGGCAATATGTCCATCTAACTGAAACAAACAATGTCAAAAAAAAAAAAAAATCAATGAACACTGCAAAAAAACTCACCTTGCAGATTACATGAATCTGAGCAAGCCATTGACTTCATCATAGAAGGAAGAAAAGAGAAACTGACCCTGGAAGAGAGATTGGAACAAGAGTCCAAAGGATCTACAAAAGCAGCTGGAAATCTAAGACTTTGATCAGCAGCAGAAGGCAAGGCTGCTCCAAATTGAGCAGTTAAGCCAGTAAGGAAGTCTCCTTCAACCCCATCAACCCAATTTAAGACCTTTACCTATATGAAGAGCATTTCAACCAAATATAGAATCTCATTAACAAAAGAGAGAGAACTAGATGAATCAAGTCCACTGAACCAGAGGGTGATTGAATACGAAGTAAACACAAGAAATTGAATTACCATTTGAAACTTATTGGTACAGCCAGGAGACTCGAGGCTGGAATCCTCGGTCCACGATACATCGTCGGCCGCCGCTACCGAGAAACCAAGCAGAAGAAGAATCAATACTAAGGCAGAGTATCGGTGATTCGGCGGATCAAACGACGACATGACGCAATCGACGGGAGCAAATCGGAGAGAAGGTGACGAAGAAGAAGAAGAAGAAGAAGAAGAAGAAGAGACAAAGAGTTGCGGTTAAAATCTTATGGGATTATATCGGACGGTCGATATTATGGGATATTTTCGATTATTAATTTAATAATTCTTTAAAGGTTAATTTTGCTGATTTTTTTACGACAGCTTTTTTGTTTCTTTGTTGTTGTTTTGATGCGTTACTTTTTTTCTTTTTTTTTTTTGGGTGCCAATTCTTTAATCTTTTGCTCAATTAATTAAACGATATATGGATGGATCAATAAGTCGATTTATGTATGTTGATACGAAAAAAATACTTCAAAAGTATTTTGAGCAGATTTCAGATGCCCACGATGTATTTGACTTTGTCTAGAACAGTTGAGTAGAGAATGATTGGCTAGCTTAAAATTCTAAATGTCATCGTACCGGCCGGTTTAAATGTTCTTCTTTGATTAATGATTATTCTATTTTTCTATATTTATTTAAAAATACAAATATCAAAAAAAGAAAAACAATAATTTGGGAGAAACACCTTGTTGGTAAGTACAAAATTACATGAAATTTAAAGTTTTAATTTTTTTTTATTCTGGCTCTATTTATTTCTTTTTGAGCTAATTTAAAACAATTTTTATATCTGTTTGGTTTCTATAATACCTTAATTTACTTTGACAAGATGAATATTTGTTTTTCCAAAAAATCAAAGTAAAAAGAGTCCATGACTAAAATAAAATGGATATTCAAAAATAAGAAAAAGAAAGAAAATAAATAAAAGAAGGGAAGGAAGAAAGAAAAGGCCTTTATTTATTTTGTAAAGAGAAGAGAAGATCTCTCAAAGAAACTCCTCTGACGTTTTTCTCCACCAAAATCTCTCTCAAGCTCTTCTCTTTTTCTTCCTTCTGCAACAACAACAACTGTTACTCATCTCTCTCTATCTCTTCCAAGTTTTTCTTTTTAATTTTTCTTTTTGTCAGAGATCGAGATCAGCTAGACATGGCTCCTGCCATGAAGATCGTCTTCGGTCTCTTGACATTTGTCACTGTCGGAATGGTCATCGGTACTCTCTCTCCCCCCTCTCTATTTATAGTCGTCTACATTTGATTTTTAATTTGGTCTTCAAAGTATTTTTATGTTTTCTCGGCCAAATTGACTCTATGAGAAATTGAAACGGCTCTTTGGTAAACTCATGGAGATTGTGTTTCTCTCTTTTTTTTCCTGGAATCTGCAGCTTCCTTGTTACAATTGGCCTTTATAAATAGATTGGAAGATTCGTACGGTAACTCCTCTTTCTTTCTTATTTTCTTCATTTATATTTGTACATGTGTGTTTTGGTGATAGAATTGCACAAATATAGTAATGTGAGCTCTTGTGTAAGGGATTAAGAGGACATTTCACTACAATGTCAATGAACTTGTGTAGATCAGGGCTTTTGATTATAGTTTATGCTTACTACAATAGAGATGATCCCTTTTGGATTTTCTATTGTTTGTTTTGTTCTTGTGGTTTCCTTTTGATTTCTATATTCTTTCTCCTTCTTATTCAGGAACTGGATTTCCGTCTCTAAGAGGGCTTCGAGGCCAGAACACCCGCTATCTACGAGGTTGGTGTGATCCTTTCTAGCCAAAATTATGCTTGCATATAGGTTAACACAATAGATTCATTCTAACTATATGAATCTTAGCTTTAAGACAAGACTCTTCTTGGAGAGCTTGATTTGTGGACATGTTATGATACAGAATCAATAATGTCAAGACTCGTTTATTTTCAGATGTTACCCGGTGGGCAAATGACAAAGATGCAGAATTGTTACGGATTGGCAATGTAAGTCTATCGTATCCATTTTCCAATTGTTGTTCTTTCTCAGGGCCAATGGTCGCCCAAAATTTCATTTATATATCTCTACAGTTAAAGAAATGGTAGATTGAGAAGAAAGAAAAACTTTCAAATAGTTTGTACTGACACATTGCGTATATATACTATCCCTTTGTGAAAATAAGATAATTTACATTTACATGTATCGTTTTTGTTTTGGTTCTGTAAAATCGAGGTCCGTTTTGTGTGCTTCCAGCTAATGTTTGTTTTCTTTAGTGCAGGTCAAGCCTGAAGTAGTCAGTTGGTCCCCTCGAATTATTGTGCTTCATGACTTTCTAAGTCCGGAGGTATATACACGCCCCATTAATAAATTCGAGTTCATTGAGTTACCTTTGTAGCAATGAGTTAGCTGATTGTAGAATAGTCTGTTCTTGCCGATGTTAGGCCTTAAAGTAGAGATAAAACTTGTTCATATCATCTTTATTCGAGCAAGGATAAGCTAAGATTTGAAAGAAAAGCAAAATCTTAGGCTCAGTTCTAGGCATTATCATAAGAATTAGCAAAAGAGCTTTTGGCAGTTTTTTGTCTTGCCATTAAATATTTTTTTCGTTTCTCCTGATTTGTATATTTGCAGGAATGTGAATACCTAAAAGCAATCGCCCGGCCTCGCCTTCAAGTTTCCACTGTTGTTGATGTAAAAACCGGAAAGGTACTGGACAATACCTTCCTTTTAGTTCTGTAGAATACGTAAAATTTCTATTACCTCCACTCTCTGTCTTAGATTGTGTTATTGTTTCAATCAAACATTGGACACGAATAGAAATGCTCTCATGCCTTCAAAGTCATCTATATTCCCTTCCATATTTTCTTATTATCTGATAATTTTCTTTTTGCTTAGGGAGTTAAAAGTGATGTAAGGACAAGCTCTGGAATGTTTCTAACTCATGTAGAAAGAAGTTATCCAATAATACAGGTAGGTCACTCTCTAATATCTTTTAAAGGAGTGCCACTTGATCAACTTAACATTTTTGTAAATTTTATTTCTTTTCTTTTGCTATTATTAGGCAATTGAAAAGCGAATTGCAGTCTTTTCTCAAGTACCAGCGGAAAATGGAGAACTTATTCAAGTTCTAAGGTGCGTGCACAACTACAACCTTACTATTTCTAAAAACGAAAGCAAACTAAGCCTTTTTCTTGATTTGATGAATCAAAATCTGCTGCAGTGCAGATATGAGCCGAAGCAGTTTTACAAACCACATCACGATTACTTTGCTGACACTGTAAGTCTTCGGTTCTGTTTTCGTATATATGTCATTAGTAGATTGAGGAAGCTCTTGCTCTGATAAAAAAATGTAAACAGAGTATGCTACAGTGTTTCACTTTTGGTTTGGTCAATAATGTTTATAGTTGGATCTTTACTTCATCTTCTCCTTTTTCATCATCTTAGATCATTTAGTTTGGAAAGTTCGTTTATCTTGTGTGTTCATGATATTCCTCGTTTCTTTTCTTATGTTTTCCACACAGTTCAATCTGAAGCGTGGTGGTCAACGAGTAGCAACAATGCTTATGTATCTAACTGATGACGTCGAAGGAGGAGAAACTTATTTCCCTTTGGTATAATATTTTCTCTGTGTTCATGCAAATTTTCAAAAAAGATAAAATAAACCAATGGTGTAATATCTCTCTTCCTCTCTATTTGAATTGCAGGCTGGTGATGGTGATTGCACCTGTGGTGGCAAAATCATGAAAGGCATCTCTGTTAAACCCACCAAAGGAGATGCAGTTCTCTTCTGGAGCATGGTTTGTTTCTTCAATCTCTCTCTTTCTCTACACAAACATGAATCATTGGGACTGCTTTGAGTTGAATTACTTGTTGTGCTATCCAGGGACTCGACGGACAGTCAGATCCGAGGAGCATTCATGGAGGATGTGAAGTTCTGTCCGGAGAGAAATGGTCTGCTACTAAATGGATGAGGCAAAAAGCTACTTCTTGAAGAACTTAAAAACTTATAAAAACAAAAAAAAGGAACCACAGGGACTTATATTGAAAATTGTCATAGTATCTCAGAGTTTTGGTTCTCTCTTTTTGACCCTTCAATTTTAGAATTTATCATTTACATACATAACTCAATATAATGGTGTTTTAGGTTTCAATCACTCCAATAAATACTATATTACTGTAGCATAAACTGACATATAAATAAATTACTGTTACAAAAAAATTAAAATTATTTCACTGAAATAAACAACGAAGGAGAGTGGCATTTTGGTAAATAAGAACAGAGTCTATTTATAATCGCAGTTTCGTTGACTTGCTTCAATCTTGACCACAGCAAAGAAAAACAATGGCGGCTTCTCTGCAATCAGCAAACCCTACATTGTCACGAACCCTAGCTTCTCCGAACAAATCTCCCTCCTTCGCCACCTTCCGATCTCCATTCCTCAGATTCAATTCCACCTCCGTCGCTTCCAATTTCAAACCCCTAGTTTCTCGAGAAGCATCCTCATCGTTCGTCACACGCTCCGCCGCCGAGCCACAAGAGAGAAAAACCTTCCATGGACTCTGCTATGTCGTCGGTGACAACATCGACACTGACCAAATCATTCCCGCAGAGTTTCTCACTCTCGTCCCTTCGAATCCAGAAGAATACGAGAAACTCGGTTCCTACGCTCTAGTTGGTCTTCCAGCTTCTTACAAGGAACGATTCGTTCAGCCAGGAGAGATGAAGACGAAGTACTCAATCATCATCGGCGGCGAAAACTTCGGATGTGGATCGTCACGTGAACATGCTCCGGTTTGTTTAGGAGCAGCGGGAGCTAAAGCAGTGGTGGCTCAATCTTATGCTAGAATCTTTTTCAGGAACTCTGTAGCTACGGGTGAGGTTTATCCGTTGGATTCGGAGGTTAGGGTTTGTGATGAGTGTAAAACTGGTGATGTTGCGACTGTTGAATTGAGGGAAGGAGATAGTATTCTGATCAATCATACGACGGGGAAAGAGTATAAGCTTAAGCCGATTGGTGATGCTGGACCAGTTATTGATGCTGGTGGTATATTTGCTTATGCTAGGAAAGCTGGAATGATTCCATCTGCTGCTGCTTGATTTTGCCTTCAGGTATGATTCTGTAACTTAATGATGATGAGGATTGCTTATAGGTTAGGATTGAGATCGAGTTTGTGGAATAATCTAGGAAGTTTGACATTGAATGATGCAACACAGAGATTTTTTCCTCTTCTTGTTGTCACTGGTTCTGATTAGAGTAAGAGAACACAGTAGTTGGGATTCTGGTTTCGTGTTGTTTAAAAAGTGTTGATTTAGTGTGAGATTGATAATGACTGGTTAACAAGTGTTTCAAAGTTTATTCTTTCTCTTCACTTAAGATTTAGGTTACCAGTTCTTTTATCTTTCCATTTGTTCAATTAGATACGAAAGCTTTGCAACATCTTTAGGTTGTAGTTGTTAGGAGGGTGTATTGAACTTGTGTGAAAGTTGTGTTGTTGGCTGATCTTTTTCATGCCATATCCATTAGACTTGATTGTGAGATTGTCCAATAGTAGAACAAAACATCATTCTTATTTTTCTTTTTATTTTGTTTTGCAGGTGTCAATGCAAGTGCATGAGAGTCTCTTGAAGGATCTTGATCCAATAAAAAGAACAATAAGAATATGTAATGTTTCCAAAAGCTTATGAACCTAATCTATGTTTTATGAATATATATGACCATTGATGATTGGCTTAGTCTTCAGTTTCGGTTTTGCTTGTCTACATTTGGCTGTTTCAGCTGCTAAAAAATGCATTGTTTCCCATTTGAAACGACGTTTTCTCTCATTTCTTCCACTAATCTAATCTTCCTGTCATAAGAACAGAACAGGAGCTCTGTTTTTCTCACACAACACAATGGTCTAACACACTTTTGTCATAAAGTATAGAGAAATATAAAATCTTCTTTTTGGGCATCCGTTTCTAGAGTCTTTGTTTCACCGTCACCTACCCAAGAGTATCAAAACGCACGTTTGGAATTCTAAATGGCACTTTCGTAAATAGAAGGGTATAAACATTTCTCCTTTTATATTGTTTTCATCGTAAACATTTCACACTCACTCAAGATAGTAAAGAAACAATGGCGTCTTCTCTTCCTACATTGCCTCAAGCCTTACCTTCTTCGTCAACCAAAACTTCTTTCTCCTTGGCTACCTTCAGATCTCCTTTCCTAAGATTCAATGGTTCCACTTCCTTCATCCCCTCCTCTATCTCCCTCACTTCACGTGGTACATCCTCCATGACCATCATCCCACGTGCTGCAGCCGAAGAATCCGACTCTAACGAAGCCTTAGCCAACACTACCTTCCACGGTCTCTGCTATGTCTTGAAAGACAACATAGACACCGACCAGATCATCCCAGCAGGAGCCGCTTGCACCTTCCCATCAAACCAGCAAGAGCGTGATGAGATCGCTGCTCACGCTCTCTCGGGTCTCCCAGACTTCCACAAAACACGGTTCGTTGAGCCAGGAGAGAACAGATCAAAGTACTCAATCATAATCGGTGGAGAAAACTTTGGTTGTGGATCGTCACGTGAACACGCTCCAGTCTGTCTAGGAGCAGCTGGAGCTAAAGCCATAGTTGCTGAATCCTACGCAAGGATCTTTTTCCGTAACTCGGTGGCTACAGGAGAAGTGTTTCCGCTGGAGTCAGAGGTTAGAGTCTGTGAGGAGTGTAAGACAGGAGACACGGTGACGATCGAGCTAGGTGATAGTGGTGGTTTATTGACTAATCACACAACCGGGAAAAACTATAAGCTGAAGTCGATCGGTGATGCGGGACCGGTGATTGATGCTGGTGGTATTTTTGCTTACGCGAGGATGATGGGAATGATTCCATCATTGGCTTAATCCTCTTCCACAACCATGATGGTGTTGTTGTATGCATAACTCTTTATATTTGATGAATATGTGTGTTTAGAGTTCTCTATTTTCTTACTTTTCTGTTTGTTTGATTTGGTGTTGTTGTAGTTACCTAAAGAATAAGAAATCAAAAGCCAAATAGACCAACATGTTCCAAGATATGTGAATATGGTGATTGTTTACTTAAACTGAAATAACTATGTTTGTGTTATATATATATGCGAACTTATGAAGATGGTGATGTTATGTTAGAACTATTTCGAAATTCCTTATTATAATCTTTTTTGTATTATAATAAAACTCGATTGAGCTATTCTAATTTAAGCATTTGTTTAATGATTAATGTGAAACCCCTAGATTTGATGATTTCCCCCATCGTAAGATCGTAACGACGTCGTTTTGTTAAATCCCACGATTTATTTATGCATATAATAAGTTAGACTGGAAATTCGTAGCAAAGATCTATGTGGTTTTGAGAGGTAATGCTGGATTAAGTATTTAAAGGGGTGACAGGTTCGAGTCTCTGGTTTTCTCAAATTTTTATTTTATTGTTTTGCGCTTTATAAAATCCAACAAGCCCAATTAATGTGTGTAAGCCGTTAGACTAGTAATGGCATAGAATATGTTCGTAGTTCAGTGGTAATGAATTGGATTAAATTTTAGGGGTTGTAGGTTTGAACCTCAGTTTTACAATTTTTAAAAGTTTCTTTTATGTTAATTCTTTTATATTTTATTTTTTTGGGTTAAAATTGCATAATAGTTTAAGGTTTGTCCAATATTATTTGACTGACAATTATCAAAACAAAAATATTTTTTGACTAATAGAAAGAAAATTTAAGGTCTGATTCGTAATCAAATGCTCTCTTGTAAACTTAGTCTCCGTCACCAAAAACTTAATCGTCCAGAATCGGAGACGCTAGGAAAGATATCTTCATGTTTCCATACCTGTTGTTTTTTCATTGCAGTTCTCTGCACTTTTTGGTTGGTGGTCACATCCCTCTACACTCACTATATAGTAACGGAGGAGGATATTTTGTCTGGGACTCCAGACGTCTAGTCTCCTCAGCAGAGCATCCAGTTGTTTTTGTTCCCGGAATAGTCACCGGTGCATTAGATCTATGGGAAGGAAAGTCTTGCGCGAACAAAGTCTTCATAAAACGTTCTTGGAGAAGAAGTTTTGCCAACTTGATGAAAAAATAAGATGTTTGAATGTTATTGGAGTTGTTAAATCTGCTTGAACTATTACGAACTTCAAGTCAATCTTGAAAACTCTAAATGGAACTTCAAATCAATTTTAGGATCCAGCTATGAACTCTTGTATCTTGCTTAAATTGTTTTATTGGATTGCACCTACTTTATGATTTGCATATTTCTTATTTCTACTCAATGTTATTTGTTTCTTTGATTACATGCGTATGTGTTGGTGTGAGCATATCAAATGCATATATTTTACTATAAATAAGCTAATCAATATATTTAAAGATTTGTTTTTAATATATTCATAAACTAACCAAACACAATCAAAATATTCTTAGGAAATTTTTTTAATAAGCGAATCAAATGCATATTTTTTTTTGTCATTAGAGAATCAAATACATATATTTTACTATAAATAAAACTATTTATAAAATTATACAACAGAAACTTCGACTATGCACATGCTTATCTAGTATATATTTAGATAAAAATGAAAAGACATGATATTTAAGTATTGCACTTTATTTGTACCAAAGCACTTTAAAAAAGCTCATCAAGAAGCTCAATGATATACTCGATTGACCAATGAAATTTTATTTTCTTCTCCTTCATCTATTCAACATTCCAAATCCCATAATCAAGCTTTTCAAAAGTATTGTTTTAAGACTATATTTTTGTTTCATAAAAGTGTCGATTTTGTATTTTCAATGCAGAATTTTGAATAAAATTCAATTTTTACTCTATTTATATAGTGTATTAAACTATTAATAAGCTACACAAATTTATTTAGTGTATTAATAAGAGATAATAGTAAGCTTTTAATAGTTTTATTAAGATGTGTGAAAAACTGTAAAATAATACTATTGTGAAACAGAGAAAATGTATAAGAAAAACAATTGGTCGGAAAATTTTAACGATAGATGTATTTGTGCACATCTATATGTAGTAAGGACTTGAACAGTTGAAGATGTCTATGAACGTCAAAATAATAGATATAATGTTCAACTTCTTTTAACATTAATATGAACATGCTATGCAGTACAAGCTGTTGATCCCTTAAAAGAAATTTAGCGACTGATGGGGTTATATGGTCTATATTTTCTATAATAAATGTATTCACATGTGACATGTACATTTGTTGGCCTGAACATAATATTTTTAAAAGGTATTGTGCCTTTTTAAACATAATGTAATGCACATGAACTTCTTCAATGTCAATGGTATGGAATATAAAAATCATAATGTCTAAGATGATATAAAGTTAATTTAATAGATGATTTTGCGCTTATAGTATTTTCGAGATGATGGATACAAATGGAGTCAATGTACCTAACATATTATACATATACTCCATATGTTTTTGTTTTTATTTTTATTGTCAATTGTTCTTGCATTGGAAGTTTGTATTTCATATTATTATTTTAACATACAGATATAGTTTATCTTAAAAGAACTATAAATAAAAAATCATTTTTATATCTTAACGAGTTGTAACTAAAACATGTCTACATCAAAAAAATCTTGAAAAATGCAAATATTAATAATTCAAATTAAATTATAAATGTATCTAGTTTAGCTAGTATAATCAATATTACTGTACCATCTATGTGTTAGGGTTCCTTACAAGTATTTGAGTATATATAAATATGTTTCTTATGTTGTTGTGGATACTGGATAGTAGTTATTTAGAGAGTTATTTCAAACCAACGCTCTTTCCCTAATCTTTATGATATAAACACAAATCTTTTTATCTCTTGGTGAATCAGTTTCATGGCAAAAAGCCAAAAACAATCTTTCACTATGCGATTTGTAATAAATGTAAAAGAATTCCGTTGGTAGTTTTCTCATTGTACATGGCATTTTTCTTACTCTACTAACCAATTTGGTTTGGTTATTGGAATTTTGGCCGGTATAAAATAACCGTTAAACGATAAAAAAAAACACCGATTTGGTTTGGTTATTGGAATTTTGGCCGGTATAAAAGAACCGTTAAGCGATAAAGAAACAAAAACAAAAGGAAACATCGCTAAACCTAAATTTGCGACTCTTACTTTATAACGCAGCTCTTCTTCTCCATTGTCTCTGCATACTCTGAAAAAACATGGCAACCACAGAGGTAAAACCCTACGCCGTTAAAAACCCTAAAAGAAATCGAAGACCATCACTTGGTCCGAAGAAAGATTTGAAGAAGAAGACTAAGAATATTAAGAGGACTAAGAAGTCGAAAGCTCCCACCTATGATAAGACCATTGAGAAGAGTAGAAGAAACGACCAGAAAACCGACAACGACGATGACGAGCAACTGTATTCGGAACCGGTATCGGCCTCTGAGCAGCTTAGCTACTTCTTGACTCAGCTTGAATCCGCCATTGGTATCAAGGTTTCTTCTTTAGAGCTCGAACCCATTAAAGGTTCGTCCTTTGTTTGATTCTAGCTCAGTCCCTATATTCTTCTGTTTAAGAATATCTTATGGGTTTAGAGATCCCTAAAATAGGTGCTTTGATTGTTGATTCGACTTATCAATGGTGTAAAAATTTTCCTAAGTTCTGATAACTTGTGGATTTGTCTTGTTTGATTGCAGATACTTGTATAGTTGAGTTATCTCAAAGATTGGATCAAGATGTAAGCAACTTGGGAGAGCATATAAAGCTTTCTTGTGGGTCTTCATGGAGAGAGACTCTTTGTGAAGGAGAGACACTTGAACGGAATGTGGAACCTGGAAACCCATCTGTTCTTGTTATTAGTTCCTCTGCTCTGAGATCTTTGGAACTTCTAAGGTATCATTGTATATTTGTGTTTTTACATCTGTTATTGCTATTTGAATAAAGAGGTGCTTAGATTAGTCCTGTTTTATGTTTGTAGGGGTTTGCATTCATTGACTAAGCAATGTCCAGCAGTGAAGTTGTTCTCGAAGCATTTGAAGGTTGAGGAACAGGTAGTGTTCTATTCTTACATAGATTTGTCTATAGAGAAAGATAACAAATTGAAATTGCCATTTGAGATTTTCTGTATTGAATCTTGTTTTGGTTCTCTTGTGTGGAATGCATGTTTCTTGCTTCTCTGATACTTTGGGATATGATGACAAAAATACGAAATCTCTAAGGCTAATTGCTATGCAGATGAAATGTATTTGCACGTCAGTCTGATCCCATTATATATAATATATAACATTAAGAGTTGGTGCATACTCATGTAGTTCATTTCTTTCTTCTTTAAGTCATGCTAAGGATTTGGGAAGTGATGATAAGATATATCGATATGACATAGGCACATGCAATGCTGAACAATATATATTTGCACGTCAGTCTGATCCCTTTTAATATATATAACATTAAGAGTTGGTGCATACTCATGTAGTTCATTTCTTTCTTCTTTAGTTCATGTTAAGGATTTGGGAAGTGATGATAAGATATATCAATATGTCATAGGCACATGCAATGCTGAACGATATATATTTGCACGTCAGTCTGATTCCCTAAAATATCCATCATTAAGCATGTACTCAGTGTTATTCATCCATCTCTCTGTCTTTCTTTCTTGTTAAGAGTCTGGGAAATGATGATAAATATATCGATATTTCAGATGCATATGCAATGCTGAATGAACTATTTGCACGTCAGTCTGATCCCAGCTCTTGTTTTTGTTTCTTTATTTGAATACAAGACTAGCAAAAATCTCATATCATAGCTCTTGTTTTGGTTGGAACTTGGAATTAGAGACTTCTGCTTTGGTCTCTAAAATGAAAGTTGTTTTCGAAAATCTTTGTTTGTGTTCTCAATTCTGTTATAGATTTCTCAAGCTCAGTTGTTATAGGCTCAAATTATTAACTGAAGTTCATTGCGTTGCAGGTATCTCTGTTGAAGAAACGGGTGAATATTGGGAGCGGCACACCAAACAGGTTAGTAAATCTCATCACTTCCTTCGACTTATATCAAATTTCATTGTTTTCCTTGACTTGTGTCTTCATATCCTGATTGTTCTCTTGCTCTTCTGTGCAGAATCAAAAAGCTAATCGATATAGAAGCGTTAGGGCTTTCGCGTTTAGACATGATTGTGGTCGACATGCACCCAGATGTCAAGGGATTTTCCTTATTCACATTGCCTCAAGTCAGGTTGGTTTCTCAACTCTTGAACAAGCTGCCCCATCACCATCAAACAAGTGAATTATTTCTGATTTTTGTTGTCTGTTATATTTGCAGAGATGAGTTTTGGGATTTGTATAAAAACTGTTTCCACCAGAGAGTCTTAGAAGGAAGACTACGTATCTGCATGTATGGTCCAAAGCCAGCTCCAAACCTAAAGAAGAAGAAAAAGAATTAACTTTGTTTAGTTAGTTGTATCAAATTCTTAAAATTATCAAAGAAAATCTTATACTCATCTGTTTTTTTTTACCTCCCAAGATTTTCCAAAGAATTCTAACATAACCCGGATGTGAGATTTCTTGGTTCAAGCGGCTACTCCAAGTCGAGATCAAAGAAATTCTACTGAAAATGGCCAATTGTCTTTGTATCAAGTTTTATTTCTTGAGCTGTTTGTAACTGTATCAAGTTTGGTAATTTTTATTTAACGTATACAAGGCAGTATCAAAACATATAGAACATATCAAGTGTTATTTGCATAAACAAATGTTTGGGGAAAAAGGTTTGCAAGCTATGAAGATAGTCGAGGAAAAAGAGGATTGTTTCCACCTGAATTTTGATCCTAATGAGACAGACCAAGATTGTGATTTAGGGCTTATGTCTCTCGCTGTTGATTCAGCTGGCTTGTAGGGATTTCCCTTTGGTGATATTCAACACGCAACTCATTGATTAGATTGGTTTCATTTTTGATCTGGTTAAGCAACATGATGAGTTGATGACATTCGTCAGAATCAACACTTTTAAAGAAGCATGAATCTAAAGCATATCTTTGCAATGTTTCACAGACAAAATATAATGGATTTCGAATACCACAAAACTTTTGCTAGTAAATCATCATAACACTACTTAGCTCTGATTTTGCAATACTTGATTTGTTTACCATACAGAGAGTGAATCATGAATAGCTTGTGAGAGGAATGCAGTATAGCTTTTGGCCTAAAGTAGTGCACTAAGAAAAAATCCTCTCAAAGTCAAATCAATACAAAAGTATACTATAAATAAATGAATGTATATACCTCTGAGAATGTGTGTTTTGGGTTTGTGGGTTTGTCCAATAGATGGTGGGGAAGAAGATCCCACAAATGCAGAAAATAGTGGAAACACCACCCAAAGAGCTTCTAGATGTTTGACTTTAGAACTTTCCATTAAACAAGAAAGACATTCAAAGTAGTGTCTTTTTAGTTTTGTGAAAGATGCATGATGATCCCATTATAACATACTCTTAAGATAATGTAGATTTCTCATTGTGTTCCTTTTTAGTGTACAGTACATAGCTCTGTTTCATTAGAGATGTTTGTAAGAACACTGAACACCTATAAGAGCATATGTAAGGGGGAAACACTTGGTGTGTTCTTAAGGGTTTTAAAATAATAAAAATATTGAATAGTGGATACAACTGTTCTTAAAATTATAAAAACTGTTCTTCAGGAAGAACAGTTTGCAGGATAAGTTAGAACTGTTCTACCACTGTTCACCTTATTTCCTATTTTTAAATCCTAAGAACACACTCAAAAGTTCCCCCCTTGCATATGGTCTAATATAGACTTTGTCAACTGAACGAATTAATGAGTATTCTATTTTTAATCCTATTTTTCATAATGATTGATAATTACATAAAATTTATAGTCAACTCGTTGTTCTGTGACACTTTTTCTAAAAGGAGGTTTTTTTTTCTTTCTTTTTTTTGATAAATTTTTCTAATGGGAGTTATTATGATCATTTTTAATCAACAACAGTACCAAAATAAAAAAGTGTTGAATAGTTTGTTTGCTTTCTCCACGCAATGGTTTTATTTTGTTATACGAATCTGCATATGAATTACCAGTAACAACAAAAATTACCGTAAAATTCTGCCGGTAACTTATTTCACGTGGAATGTATAAACTTTTATTAGATAACTTGTTGATTTGGTAAATCTTTTTGTTATTCTCTGCATTACTGCATACAATAAGTGAGTCAGTGAGAGTTACTCCATGGCCCTTAATGATAATTAAATATAAAACTATAAAAGGAATAGATAGAGTAAAGACTAAAGATGAATGAAATATATGTGAGTGAGATATAAATAAATTTATTCTACTTATTTCTTTAAACAATTGCAGACAAATGTTTTTAGTGGGATAAGTGGACCGAGTGAAATGCTCATTCCATTCAACATAAATGGTTAATTAGCAAAAACAATTGATGAATACTTCACTCCACCATAGTTTATTCCACTAACTAGACATCTATTTAATTTGCATCTCATGAAGTGTTACACAATTATATATGTATGCATTATGTTTCAGTCATGAATTACATATCAATATCATGCATAAGTATGTGAAACAACATTAGTATGATTCTATCTTCCTTTTTTTTTTGTGAAATAACATTAGTATGATTGCAATTTGCAAATAATGATATAAGATTCACGAGACAAATATTCAGATAAACATACTCAAGATAATGACAGAAACTTCTCAAGACTTAAAAAAAAAAAAAAAAATTAAACTTACGAACCTCATAAATCGATCTAGAATGTGGAACTCTAAACATAGTATAGAAAGTAAATCTATTAATCAATCACTTAACCAATAACAGTTCCAAACTATGTCGTTTACTATTTAGAATTATATTTAACTTTATCCTTTTCATGTTATTAGGTAGCCTACTGGCAAACAAGAAACGAGGAAGTGTGTAATAATTGGATATTCTTATACTCCCTCCGTTTCATAATATAAGTCGTTTTAGCTTTAAGCACGCAGATTAAGAAGATCTACTTTTAAAAAGTTCAGCCAATCACAACAGAGACTGCATAATATAAATAATTATAAAATATTAAAATAATATATAATTTGCATAAAAATTTGAAAACGACTTATATTGTTAAACAAAATTTTTTCTCCAAAACGACTTATATTATGAAACGGAGGGAGTATTATAAAGTAAATAATCTTATAATAATTTTAGGGGGTCCATCTTATAATATTAAACAATATAGTTTTTTGTTGGCAAATGGAAAAAAAAATTCAAAATAGTTCATGTAATTCTTCAGAAAGTCGATAATTAATGTTTTTTTTTTTTAAAGCACACGTATTGCTTAGGTACTTTATATGTCACATTTTTGGATTAGCTCCGATGGTGATTGGTAGCTTCAAACTGCAGAGGCGAGGAGAGAAGTCGTTCATGCCGGCTCTAAATTAAATGATTTGAGTGTTTAAAATCTTTTTTTCTTAGAACAAATGTATGAATGTAACCAAAATGGGATACTATTTGAGATACGATTTAGTGTGTAAGAAAAGATGATAATTCCATACTTAAGTGTAAGATTTGACAAGATGATAAAACACTGTCAATTGATCTTTCTTATAATTACAACAAATGTAAATAAATATTAAAAAAAAAAAAGAGAGAGAGAGAGAGAGAGAGAGAAAAGTAATTCGATTCTTACTTTTTGTTTCTGATAGAAAACAGTAATTCTGATGATGGCCAAATCATTATTCCTATCTGATTTTTTATCGAAAGTGACAAACTTTATTCGCACATATTCTTATGACGTCAGCATGATTCATGTATCTGTTTCTAAATGCGAAAGACCTTCCAATTTAATTCATACGGATATAGACAGACAAATAGGTTTCTGTACCCAAATTTTGATGACGTCAAGGTTACATAGGTGTCTATGTATGCAAAAGTGACACGTGTCAGATCCCTATGTCACACGTTGGCTAGTAGAAAGTCTAGAGATAATAATCTCTCTTATTCGTTCACTTTTGAACTGGTCTTCAATGTTAATCCATATTTTAAACTTCTAAACTTGGGGATGATCAGAAAGATTCAATTCATATTGGCCAATAAATTAATTTATTTTAAAGGTTACGACTTACGACATTGTCTTATTTATTAGCTTAAAGTCCAGTTTACTTTTCACTCTCTTATTTTTTTTTTTTGTTAAAGGGTTTTGCTTATATAACTGAACATAAAAAGTTTACAAATAAACAACCAAACAAGAGCCAAACCATAAATCAGTTTGGATTCACTCTCTTATTAGTTAAACTTATATCTCAGAATTTTTTTTTACTTTATCGTTAACTATTGAATACAAATTTGCATATTGATCAATCAAATAAGATAACCGAGTTATTCAGTCTAGTCTATAGCCAAATCAACAACAATGAATACTGAACTGAGTATAAACATATATAATCTTGTTTTAGAATTTTGCTTGTCATACAAAAATCATAACCCAAAAAAAAGTTTCAGTATCAATATAATTTGGTTATAATCCTCGTCATTAATTATTTGCAAGACATACTGAAAAATAAAAATCAAAAGCTATATTGGAAATTAGATTTAGACACAGTCAGTATTTGGAGATGAAAGATTGGATAAAAAAAAAAAAATCTTCTGTGTATCAGAAATCTATAGAACAAAGGTTAGATCATAGTGACGTGAGCATGACAGAATGCATCCCGTGTTGGTTCCAAACAATGCGGCGGTGTAAGCTTTTTGAAGCCCATCATGGCCCACAAACCATTCAAAGCCAGTCTTGATCCTTTCTCTCTATAAATAGACACACAAAATCACAACACCAAAACACATCCAAAATTCGTTTCTTACCGAGAAAAGCACCAACAAAAAAAAGAGAAGACGACGTTAAAGTATATGAGAGCTGCAATAAATAGAGCAAATTCACTTGGAGGTTTGTTTTCATTTAAGTTTATCAGAAACATCAAATCAATGTCTTCTTCTTCTTCTTCCCAAGATTTCGTATCAAGACCTGTTATCAAGAAAGTCTTCGCTAAGCTTCAGAAAGAAGGCGATGGAGCCGTCGTTAGACGTGGCATTTCCAGGTTCCTTAATTAGTCTCTCTCTTTTTTTTCTTTCTCTTAAGAAAATTCAATGAGCTTCAAGTCTGATAAATTTTCCTATGAATTCAGGAGCGAGCAGAAGTTATTAGATCCGTTCTTGATGCTAGATGAATTCTCCGGTAAATTCTTGATATTCCCTTTGCAAGCAACCATTTTATTTATTTAGCTATCCATTAAAAAATTAGCCATTTTTAATTATTATCCATTTAAAAACAGATATTTATTGGTGATTTTCTAATTTATGTTTTACTCTGTTTTTTTTTCTTTGGAGCAGTTTCGCCTCCAGCTGGATTCCCTGATCATCCTCACAGAGGTCAATATCACCATTACATACATATATGAAATAGAAACCATTATTAATTATCTAATGTCTCTTTAACATTTTGTGGAATTAATGATGAACAGGTTTTGAAACTGTTACATACGTACTAGAGGTAATAATAAAATAAACATTTTTTATATTATGAATCTTAAAAAAACGTTTTAAATTTATCTTATTCGAATTTAAAATTTTGTGGTTTAGGGAGGAATCACTCACCAGGACTTCAAAGGTCACAAAGGTACAATCTATGCTGGTGATGTTCAGGTAAAAAATAAAAAAAAAACAGAAGTAACTGTTTAATTATTCCATAATCCAACGATCTTTAAAGAATCTAAAAAGTTACTGGACATTTTTACAGTGGATGACTGCAGGAAGAGGAATCATTCATTCTGAAATGCCTGAAGAAGAAGTTAACAAAGGTTTACAACTTTGGATCAATCTTTCCTCCAACGAGAAAATGTAAATTAACCCACTTGCAAATTCGACATTTTTGGACTTTTTAAACCGGATATTGACTCTTCATTTTCATTTCGACAGGATTGAACCAAACTACCAAGAACTGTCGCATTCAGACATACCAAAAACAGAACAAAACGGTGTTGAAGTCAAAGTCATTGCAGGAGAATCAATGGGAATTCAATCCCCTGTTTACACAAGAACACCTACAATGTTTCTTGATTTCACTCTCCAACCAGGATCTCAAATCCACCAAAACATTCCTGAATCTTGGAACGCGTTTGCTTACGTTCTAGAGAGCGGTGAAGGCGGCGGTGTTTTCGGTTCCTCGAACTCTTCTCCTATTTCAGCACACAGTGTTGTGGTGTTCGGACCAGGGAATGATGGTGTTAGCGTGTGGAACAAGTCATCTTCAAAGATATTGAGGTTTGTGTTAATTGCTGGAGAACCGATTGGTGAACCGGTGGTTCAATACGGTCCGTTCGTGATGAATACTCAAGCTGAGATTGATATGACCATTGAAGATTATCACTATGGTAAGAATGGCTTCGAAATGGCCAAGTATTGGAGGTCACAATGATAAAGAACTAATAATCATCACTACTTTATTATTTTCGTTTCTTTTCTTTCTATTTTAATTCTGTGTGTTCTAATTGGATAATAATAAAATGAAAACAAACATGTTTTTTTTTCTTTCTCTTTTGCTAAATTTGTGGGTGGGAACCCATTAAATCCGAGGCTGACTATTTTTCAAGTTCCAAACATTGTCATCATTATTAAGGAAGTCTTCCACAATTTTAGTTTAAATTACAAACTGTTCATACTATTATATTGACATATGAAGAAAGCATAAGACACTTTCTATGATTCTTAGAATGTCTAAATGTGAATAAGACATATTAGACCAAACAATTGTTAAATACCAAACGCGTATTAACAAAGTGAAGTGACATAAACATGATTGTTACTTTAAACATCTTATATTAAATTTGATAGTGAAATGCGGTTTATGCATTTTGAACATATTTGCTACTATTAAAAAGTATTCTTATCATTTACAGAACATTTTATTTTCTGATAACTAAAATTAAAAAGTATTCGAGGCAGATTGAGAGTATAATTTATCTCAAATTACTGTTTTAACTCTTTTATTTATAGGTTATATAAATAAATAAAATCAATACAATTTTCAATTATTTGGGCTCGACATTATGATTTAGTTCTAGTGGATGCAATAAATATACTGACAACATTGCTTCAACTGCCACATCTATTGGAAATTAAGAACCAAAATTGAAAATTGAAATAAATATTTTTATCGTTTTGTTTAGATAGTAAATTTGCGGGCCAATGAACTAAAGGAGCAGTTGGAAAATATCAAAATTGATTGAACAATCATAAGTTTACAAAAGTTACAAATAAGGAAGTAGAAATGAGAACATAGCTTATACACTGACAAAACTTCATGTCCAATTTGCTCGCATTTCTTCTGTATCTGTAACACATTTCTCTCTTCTTCTTTTACTTTAACTGAGAACTATAAGAATATATCTCTGTCTTTCTATAAGTTAACCGGGAACACAATTCAACCCGATACCAATCCGCAGGACAAAGAGAAACCGGTACAAAGATGTTGTTACCTCGAACAGCAAGAGAATGTCTTTGTTCCTTCGTTCTCGTTCTTAACCAAGCTAACCCGATTCACAGTTAGCTCCTCTTTGTAAGAATCAGAGTTCAATTGCTTTCGACTAATGTTACTATAGATCTCCCGAATAACCATCTCAAAAGCCGTCTTCACATTGGTCGAGTCCAGCGCAGATGTCTCCATGAAAAACAAACCTTCAGACTCAGCAAGACTCTTACCTTCCTCAACACTCACCGCTCTTATGCTCTCGAGATCACATTTGTTTCCAATAAGCATTTTTGCTACTGTTGTATCAGAATGAGCTGCACCAAGATTCATCATTACTGTCAAAACTAACTCTAAACTCAACTTATCACAATTCCAAGCTCAATAGAGTAAAGATGCAAACAAGAATCGAAAATTCTACTTGAAGAGTATGTAACAGTTCAGAAACAATCATTGCATATGCTTCATCATTCAGTTTCATGATTATCATAAACCTAAAGAATTTGACTTGACTTTGAATCAAAGTCTTATGAAGTCTATCATAAATCTTTCAGATCTAAAATCTTTCAGCATCACTATCGCAATGATTCAATCCTAAAATTCACACCTAATCCAAATCCAATCCCTACTCTAATCGAAACCAACACTCAGATTTACAGATCTCACTTCAAATTGAAAACAATTATTCAAAATCGAGATCGAAACACATACTGTTGAGCTCATCGAGCCAGCGACCGACGTTCTCAAAAGTGGAGCTACGAGTGATGTCGTAGACGACGAGAGCTCCAACGGCGCCACGGTAATAAGCAGAAGTAACGGCGCGGAAGCGTTCCTGACCGGCGGTATCCCAAATCTGAGCTTTGACTTCTTTGCCGTCGATAACCATACTCTGAGTCTGAAACTCGACGCCGATTGTGGCTTTGGAATTGGGATTGAACTCGTTACGGGCGTAGCGAGTGAGGAGATTGGATTTGCCGACGGCGGAATCTCCGATGATAACAATCTTGAAGAGATACTCTTCGCCTCTCTCGTCGTCCGACATTTCTCCTTCTTCTCTGTAACGCTTTGTTGGAGAAAGAGAGATTAACGGAGGCTTTATTAGGTTGTTTTGTGAGCGCAATGAATGTTATTATTTTGCGCATGAAGTTATATTCCATCATTAATACACTAAGATTTTTCTTCTTTTTAAAACTAAAGCAATACTACAATATATGAATTTGTTTTTTTTTTATTTCAGGACCAAATATGAATTTACATGTTTTTTGTTTTATAAGAAAATTTAAAGTTTGATGAAATAAATTCATTTTTATTTATATCAGGACCAAATATGAATTTATTTGTTTTTTTTTTGTTTTATGAGAAAATTTTATATTAGATGAAAATTGAAATAAAGAGATCTAACTTTCTACGAAGATATATATATATATACAATTTTGTTTGCCTCCAAAAGTAAATTGTGAATAGTACAACAACTTATAAAATAACTAGTAACAAGTGGATTTTCCATATCAGTTTTCAAAAACAAAAAAAAAAAGTATATAAAGAAATTGGTATTTGTACATTTATTTCCTTCAAATAATGATTTTGGTTCAGTTAAGGTTTATTTTATACATTTGTTTGGAAACTTTCAACCGATCCTGATATTTTCCTGAGTTTTTCATTCACAGATCAAAACGTAGGATTGATAACTATTCACACACACAAACGCGCGATCTCTTTCAATTCTCAAATAATGGGTTTTGCTCTAATTAGCTAAATTAACCAACTTTGAGAAAAAAAAAAAAAAAAAAAACGAATGATCGAATTTTAAGTTATAATTAAGGTCAAGACTTTGAGAGAGTGACAAAACCCCAACCTTAATGAATCTATCATCACTTTCATTAGACCTCCAAAATAACTCCTTCCTGCTATGTTTCTTTCTGTCTTTGAATTGGTTCTTCTATTACTTTATTGCATCATATTTGGAAACATAACGCATCATTCATCATCGTTTCTTGCATGCCCCACAAGTGCATTTCTCCATTCCCTTTTCCAGTGACTGCACATAACAGATCATTTAAAAATCATATTAATTTCTCCATATGCATACTTGAATAAGACATTAAGACCTCCACATGTGAATAAACGGGACCTCAGAATCTAACCGATCAAACATGTGTGTATATATGATAAATATATAGTATAACCATCTATCTGTATGTTTAAGTAGAGCTATTATGCATGATTCTTAACTTAGAATTGTCTATTTTAAACGTATTTCTATTACAAAAGTTTTTAACAAAATTTAAGATGCAAGTATGATCAGTTTTCTGTTAACAGGGTGAAAATGATATAAATGAACCTACGAAAACATTATCATGAGACCAACGCAAAAACCCTATTGTTAAGAGATCATGAGAATGTATATATTTTAATTAACACTCACATGCATGACATTTTGATGTCATGTAATTTTATTGTTGTCATGCATGTAATTTTCTAAGGGGGAATTAAAAAACACGTCTGAGTAAATTATATGATTCATGATATGATCATATTGGACTATAACTTACCACTATATACCATAACTATTTTCTAAAATGATATAATTTGGCTTAAGGTAACATTTTCTCAACATATATAAGGAATATGATACCCTTTTGCTTCAGTTTGAGAAAATGTAACTTTCCATATATAGATTCATATGTATCTAAGGACGCACCTCTACTTGGTGTTGAAGACCTTTGATATGCTCAACAGCCAAATCCAACATATCTGCGTAGCTCGTTTGCTGCCAAAATTTTCAACCCGATATTATATAGAGATAATAGATACATAAAACTAATCCAAAATTACATAAATTTAGAAATAACATCACTTACCTTATCCATATTAGGCACAAGTTCTTGTAGCTTCTTCAGCTTCCCGCTTATTCTCGTTCTTCTCTCCTATACACAAACACGCAAAGCAAATCATATAAAAAAACTTGATTATACTCTTGTTTTCTTTGCTTTTCAAATAAAACTACCTTTTAAGATTATATCTAGACTCATGCAATAGTAATCACCACAATAATAGAATAAAACTAACCCTTTCAGCGATGCTGCGTGGGTGAGTCGCGAAGCCGCGCTTGGCCCTAGCCTTACAAGGAACCGAGTCCTCTGGGATGTTCATCAAGTTCTCCATTCTCGCTATTTCCAGAGATGTTTGCGGCATGCTAAACTAAAAGTCAAAACCATATATATTAATGAGGTGAAAATCAATCTAACCACTCAATGAATATCATAACCAAACCAATATCAGTGAAAATTTTACACAAAAAATCATTTGGTAGCAAAGGGCTTGTGAAAAAGATACATAAATCAATCATAAACCTTCTCTAAGCTACTTATATGTATTACACACAACCACTCAACTTTGGCTTCTACACACATGAACTTTGGCTATTTACATTTTTATTGGCATTTATTTCAACTTGGAATTCTATCGTAAACTTAATGGAATTCAAATTTGGCTTGTAGAATTCATATTACTGTATATGACACACTATAATAATATCTGTTAGCATACAACTTGTGAACCATACATAGACCAATCATTAATAAGCAATTTTCAGGCTATTTGTTTGGATCGATTAAAATTATATTCCTAAATAAGTCATAAACCTTCTCCAAGCAGTTTATATGTATTACACAAAACCATTCAACTTAATTTGGCTTCTACAAATGAACTTCTGACATAGACATTTTTGTTGGCAATATTTGAACTTGGAATCCTATTGCTAACTTTATGGAATTTAAACTGATTTATAGATTTCATATTATATGACACACTATGATATGTACACCTTGTGAACCTATTATAGTAGATCAATCATATAAACCTTCTCCAAGCCATACAAACTAATAATACCCAAAACCACTCAACTTTGGGCATATTCACTCTTTTTGCCCTTTACCTAGAAGAATCCAGGATTTATTAACTTTGTTATATAGAAATTTAATCTAAAAAGTAATTCATACAATATAAATACATATATTAACCGCAAAATGATAGAAAATAAATACCTGAGTTTCTAACGTGAAAAAGTCGGAGTTCTTGGACCGTTTTCCGGGTTGATCAATGGTGAAACTGATATGAGAAGACGAGTTGTCCCAATTGTTATTATGATTATTTCCAAAACTCATACTACTCGATGCGACACCGTTTATAGCCGCCGCAGCCTCCGAGATTCGCGGTAGAGACTTATGTTCTTGATGACTACTACTGCCGCCAGAGAATCTCAGCTCCGACTTCAACCTCGAAGGCGCTCTCTCTCCTCCTCCGCCGCCGCTGTAACCTCTGTTTGGCTGTCCTAGAGAAAAACCTGTTCCTTCTTCCATCAACAAATTTAGTTTGAAAGAGAAAGAAGTTTGTAATGTAATGTGTAGGGTTATAATTAACTTTTTTTCTCAGTATTTTAATAACCAGCTTGGTTTTTAATATCTATAATACAAAATAAGAAGAGAATGGGTCGTCTTCGAAACTCGAGGACCCCTTCCTTTGTCTCTACTTATTTATTTTATTTATCACCAATTTGGTAGAGAATAAGGATTCATGAAAAGAATCTTAGAAATATTCACTTTTCGAATTCCAATTATTATCATATGCAAGATGGGTAAATTTTCTTGGGGCTCGCACATGGATTACAGGGGAATGTGAACCGGACATATGCAATGAACCGAAGATCAAATTGCACAAAAATAATATAAATTATTAATAATCTAATCATATATAATGACAAGTAGGCGTATCCAAAAATCAAAATAGTGACCATGATTAAGCCATGTCAGCAGGGTAGGCCATCATGGCTGCTTTCTCAGAAGAAAAAGAGCAAGTGGCTGGATAAAATATTTCTAAGTGGATCGGATTATACTTTTTATTTCTTTTTGTAACGATTCTTTTTTTTTAACATACACTTTTGGCAAGTGTATGTTTTATATTACATGCTATTTGCATTAAATTTCATTATTAATATAAACAACTTGCCACTCTTGGAAATACGTATTTGATTATTCTTGCATATTTATACATGTATATATGCGACTAAGATCAACCATGGTATATGCGACTAAGATCAACCATGGTTAATTTCTCCAGACAGAAACTGAAAGAGAAAGGTGTGTATAAAGATCTAGAGATAGATTAACTATTGACCAATTTTTTTTTTTCCTCAAAAAACTATTGACTAAAGCAAATCTATAGTTAGATATTTTGAAACTACATGTGTATTAGATATTCAATTACGTGGTTGATATTGTTCTTTAATTTAAAAAAAAAAAAAAAAAGTCGTATCCCTTTATAAATGGAGGGAAACCAAACCAATTCCAACCTACAGACAAATTACTTAAAGTCATCGATACAAAATCAAGACTACTACATGGTTTAGATTACAGTAAGTCAAAATTTAGTTGCCGACATATTTATCGATATAAATAACATATTCAGTTTTTAAATACTAGATTTTACACAAATATGGAATTTTTGTATTTTCTTATACCAAATTCGTATTGCTTAAGGAAAAAATAAATATTAAATGTTATAAGATAATTTCAAATATGTAAAAAAATGCTTTAACACATTTAAGAAAAAATCGTAGTGTGTATCATTGTATAATAATATAATATATATGCCAATTATTCGTCGACAAGATTCAGTTCGAAATAAAAAGTAGGAAAAATAAAGAAACGAAAACGTTACCGTTGGGATCAGTGGGAAGATGTTGGTCGTAGAATCCGGCCGGAGAGCTTCTGTGTCGGAACAAAGAAGAAGAAGAAGCACCGGAATCGAATCCGATGGAAGATGGTTGGCCAGATAAGTAATGGCCGACGAGGTTGGGATTGTGCTGCTGCCGCTGCGGCGGTGAAGAATGGTGGCTTTGAGGGGCAAGAGAGGAGAAATCACGGGTGGCTCCGGCGGGTGAGTCATATAGATTGCTGTAGGCGTCGCCGCCGTCTGGAGCGGTGGACTTAGAGGAATTAGGAGGGTACATGAAACCGGAAAAGAAAAACCCTACAAAAGTTAATCTGATGGTTTCAGGAAGAATCTTGAGGAGAGGGTTTGAGGGAAAGAGAGAAAGATATTATTATGAGTATAGTTTATTAATTAATATGATAATTAAAGTAAGAGTAACAAATTAGAGCGATGGCTTTGGCTTGTGGGTGCTTGACCAAGAGAGAGTCTCCTACTCCCGGTTCCGTCAACGCACGTGCTCCTCACGTGGTTGACAGATTGTGGTTTGACGTTATTTGCGATATTTTTCTTATATCTTAGCATCATTAATTATGGAAACAGAGTTGGTTTAAGAAAAAATGAAAGTTATCACTGATCAGTAAAGAACTAAAGATGTTGGTTGGATATGATAAGAATTTTTCGATTAAGTAGGTTAAACTTTTTTTTTTTTTTTTAACTTATTAGGTTAAACTTAATTCGATCAAAAAATCAATTTTAAGTGGAGTTATTATCATGTATGATTGTATCGATAGATCAGTCGATATAATGATCTCGGTTATATTCACTAATAATCTTTACAGCCTAAAATGCCAATTTTATGCTCATAATTTTACAGATAATCAAAGCCTACATTATTTTTTGGGGGATGAAACTAATGTGCATATTAGTTTAATTATCGTCAAGTGGGTCTATAAGATTCCATTTTGTATTATTAATGGGTAATCAACTTGCTGTTTAACTTTGTACTTTTATTATGGATACTTAAACTTTTCATTTATTTAAAAAGTCTATTTCTTCGTTTATGTTTTCGACCGACCTCATATGATCCAAGAGAAAGGAAGACCATGACAAAACATCCATTTTACATTTATACGTTTACTTGATTTATAATAAAAACAACACATGCACTTCTTTTTATTAAACTATGGTGAACGTCCATAGATTAGGATATAGACCATTAATGTGCCTAATCCCTAATACTACTTACTATAAATCAAATAGGAAAACTTACAAGTATCACCTATTTGGAACACCAAGACACCTTTTGATGTGTTACTAAGATCATACAAACCTTGAGAACCTCATATTTTAATTTCTCCCACGACATGCTGTCACTATACTAGTTTCATCACTTCTAGGGTTATGTTGAGGAGGAATTAGAGTATGAAAACAGTACTTTAACATTCTAAATTTTTCTAAGGGATCACGTAAGTCTGTTGCTACAGCCTACAAGACTTTACAAGCAAGAGATGTAATTATATTATTCTTTCTTCTAGGTTTTATAATTTGTATTTCGTACAGAAATATTTAACTGGTTCTTCTGATTGTAGAATGGAGTTCTTCTTTTTGGCGGAAATAAATTAGATATCGTAACTACGATGCAGAATTTGATTTCAATCGTCACCGGTCCGCATCTATCTCTTCGTCAACTCCTCGTCTTTCTCCTTCCATCGTTTTCATCAAATCATAAAAATCAAGATTTAAAAAAAAAAAAAAAAAAAAGAATCAAGATTGGGTGTTTGATTTCTTTTACTTGGGCTTTGATTCAAAATAGGTCCTTTCTTATTGTGTGTCTTGGGCTATTTAGCTAATTAGGCCTTGTAACACTTTCAATAGAAAACCAGTTATCCCAACAAAAAAAATTGAGTTAAAAAAGGAAAAGTGAAAAAAAAAAGTACCGGTGCGAAATTTGTTAACTACTGTTTCCTTTCAAAACTGTCGTCTTTTAACAAATTAATGGGCCACATCAGCCCAAATCAGTAGGGTTGCATAATGTTAGGCCTAGTACAGAACTGACCCATTTGAATCAATACCTTTCCAGGGACTTTCTTCAATATGGACTATTTATTTTTGTTTTCTTCAGTTCATAAGATAAATGTTTTGCTTCGAAACAGAGAAGACAACAAATTACATCTAGAGAGGCTAGTACTTCGTTGCCGATCAATTTCGTTGCCGATCAATCTATTTATTTCTCTTTCTCAAATTGAGAAATTTCGGTTGGTCGTGTAGTACGATTTTCTGCCTATTTGTGGGGAAACCTGCAAAAGAAAGTATGTCATCTTTTTTCTTTTTTAAGAAAGATAATATGACATCTATTTACCAATAACAGAGATACAAACATATCGAAGTGGTAAACTTTGGACTTCAGTTTGATAACATTTGGTTCATATTTTTAATCAGTTCAAACAGTTTTAAGAAGATATTGTTTTTTTTTAACACCTTTAAGAAGTTATTGTTAAAAGTGATTTTTTTTTTAAATTTGTTCTTTCGTTTTCTCTGGAAGTAACCAAAACATAACAAAATAGCAATCAATATAAATAAACAAAACGAAATCTATTTTAGTTGAAATTATTAAAATGGTTTTTGGGTTTGGTTTGATTTGTTTTGGAATTTGTTTCAGTTCGGTTGAGTTTTTTTTTCTTCATATACACTAACTAGTTTTAATTTATAAATGTTAGTATTTTTTAACAAAAATCGTAATGTCAAGTTAGAACTACGTACAAATTAATAGTGATACAAAGAATACACAGTCTAGTATATACAAGAATAACCAATCCAACAGAATTGGAAATTTTAGATAAACATTGTCTTTCTTAAATAAATTGGTTGACCTAACTATAGTTTATTATTTTCTTAAGTTATACTATTCTCTAATTTATTTATTTATTTAAAGAAATATGCATATATGCGTGTACATGTAACAATTAAAGAGATGTTATTGGTTATTTGATCACTTTCACTTCATGACAGCTAGGTGGTTCCAAATTCCAAGTAAGAATTCCAAACGTGGATGTCTGTGTGCTCACTGATTTTCTTACGTATACTGTATACGGTATACGGGCATTGATTTTTTTTTTTTTTTTTGCGTCGCATAAATAAGTATATGTTATCAGTTTAATTAGTAATGACTACCAAATATTTTTATGGTATATGATAAAAAAAAATCTAACAGTCAAAATGTGATAACTAAGATTCAATGATTTTTAATATGTTTACCAGGACCTAGCGATATTGTGATGAGTTAACAGACTTTTTTGATAAATAAATTTGGTTTTTGTTTTAGTGTTTCAGTGCAATTCTGATTAGACAAATGCTCTGATCGTGGCAACTAAATGCTGATTTAAAACGACGAGCTTGACGAATTCCCGTCCAACTTGCAACGGGTTAAATCCTATATGGATCAAACCGATCATGATCTTTTTCAATAAAATTATGAACCAGTTACCAGTCGAAATTATACAAAACTTCAGCTTTTTAAACCTTTCCGTTTTGGTCTACCATAATATCCCTATCAAACACCAGTATTTAACTTTGTTTTTTTCTAATAAATCTATTTAGCTATTACATAATTCACAAAACTAATTCTCAAGTTCTACTTTAAAATCTTGCTATCATAAAAAATAATAGCCGATAAAAATGTGAGGAAAAGTTAGAATCTATCAAATCATATAAATTAAAGATATCATTGAATTTACTTTTTCAGTCAAATTCCATGATATATTTTAAATTATTTACATAAAGTAAGAAATATGCAATATATTGTTTTTATAGATACATAAGACTAAGAAAGCTACAACCATTCATATTATTAAAAAATTGAATGTAAATGAGGTATACTTAAGAAAAAAGCTTCTATAGCATTGCACTAGAAGTCTATAAAGATAATTAACTTTAGCTCTAGAAAGGAAGCCTCTAAGCTCTTTTTCACGCCCTTTTCGGGCATAGCCACCAAGGAGATGTTACTGGTTTTTCTTTCTCAGTTGCTTTTATTTTTTATTTATTTTTGCTAAGAATGTTAATATCATTATAAATGAAAAAGTTTGGCTGATAGAATGAAAAGCCTTTGGCTGAAAAAACTTTGGCAAAAAAAAAGGATAAAATTTCAAATTAGGAAGTCACATGGAGTGAGTTCATGACACCCATAGTTGCATAAGGTTGCAGAATCGCTTTCTCCCTCGATTTTGCAGTGATGGTGTTGCGGATTTCTCTGTCTAAGAGCGTTGGGATGGATTGTTGATTGTGGACCATATATATTATTCCTCTGCTTCCACGAGTTGTCTTTATTTATATATTTTATTTGCTTGCAGCAGTTGATGCGAAAATTACGATCACTACGACATGATGTTAATGTAGTCATTGTGGTATGAATAGTGCGATTGAAGTTGTTTTGTCAAACTTCTAATACTCAACAATGAATAAAAATAATATAGTAAAAAGAATTTTACATTATTTTATATGTTTAGATGTTAGAACGTTCTAAATAATTTTATATAAAATTTGTAGGTCACTTAGTTAAATTTAGAAAATCAAAAATAAAGAAAGAGGTGTACGACAAATGAAAGAAAAAAATGAGAACGAGAAAGACAGGGTACGAGCTCAATCGAATCTGGAAAATAAATTATCTTTTAAGTTCACGTTTTCCTCAACTTTCTGACAACTGTAAGATGCTGTCTTGTTTTGTTAATTGGATAATAATAACATAATTAAGCTCTGTTAATCTGTCATTTTCCTAATTTAATTTTCATCAATTTGTTTTTTCGTATTAGTTGACGGGTAAGCTTTCAAGTTTACAAGTAAAAAGAGACTCTTAAGCAGCAAGTAGTGTTTTTTTTTGGTTTGGTAACTTCTTTGCATATTTTGTTCTAAATGATCGAATATGAGTTAATAGTGCTTTGCTGACACTTGGACTCTTTTCCTTATTTATCAACGACTTACACATCAATTATGAACTATGTGAAAATATTTAGCACTTAATAGATTAATAACTAATTAGTCTCTTTTAGGTTCAAATTTATAATATGAAATTTACGTTGATAGTTGGAAACAGTAAGGATTATTTTTTGAAAAATCTATTACAACTGCTTATAAATATTTAATATCATCTATTCGTCCTTTTGAGACGAGAAAATGGAATGAAAATCCATTCAAAATTTTACTAGTCAACTCCATGTGATAAACCTTGTGAACTGTTTTTGGATTTAAAATTGTTAACCTTTAGTTCTTATTAGTTTACAAGAATATTTTTTGTGATAAATTTACAGTAATATTATATTATTGAACCATCATCTTTGTAACTATATAA